ATGGATTGATGTGTATGTGTGGTTTGGTTTGCTGTGTTGTGGGGGGGTGCATCCATCATACCTCCATCTGGGGAGGCAGGTAATTTGAGGGTAATCCTACTTAATCATCCGTTCATACACAAAACAGACACACAGTTCTGTGTTTTTGCTTGACGTGCTGAGATTTGTCTTAATAAGTGACCCAAACTGAGCTGCAACAAAGATATAAAAATGAGTTTTATGTCCCCAGAAGATTTGTTTCCAGCCCAGCAGCTGGATGCTGGACTCTCTTGTTTAAATTTGACTTTGTTTTCATCACAACTGACTCAAACAAGAGGAAATTTTGCTTTTTGTTGGGGAATGTTTTAGCGGAGAATTAATCCACATTTGTTGCTCTAGTGCATACTTTCAGAATAGAGTATGTGTGAGTTAGTCAAAAGAAATGACACTTAGTGCATTCATGTTGGAGCTGCAACTAAACATTATTTTCATTTTTTAATAATCTGTTTATTTAATCGATTAATTATTGGTCTATAAAATGTCAGAAAATGGTGCAAAATGCCAATTAGTGCCCAAGATGACAAATGTTTATTCCAAAACCCAAAGATATTCCATTTTTCTGACACAGAAGAAGAATACTTCTATTAAATGTACATGTTACTTTAAAAATTAAGTTAATTGCAGCATTAATTTGAGTGACTGTCTCAATTTTAAAACCTTTTTAAATTCAGATTGGCCTTTGTATAATACTTTTTAATGTCTTTTCCATTGTTTTATTGTTGCTCTTTTTTGTAAAGCACCTTATAACTCTGGTTTTAAAAGGTGCCACAGAAATAAAGTTTCTCATTTAAAAGTTGAATACTAGACAGCTAATTCAGTAATTAATCGTTGAAGTTCATGCTAATGAAGGAACACATAATATAAATGAGTAAAATATATCAGGCTTTGGTTCTTAGAGAGAAAAAAGCATGTAGGATATCGTCATTACTGGTTTCATGGGATTTAGTGACTGTAAAAGCTAAATATCACAAAGCTGTTTGAAAAGTCTTTCTAACAAGTTTCCAGGTGAAAGTGATGTCATGTACAAACTCTGGAGGTACTTTACTTGATTCTTATCTTTTCGTGATACTTCTACTCCACTACATCTCAGAGGGAAACATTTTTACTTCACTATATTTATTAGACAACTCTACAAATTTTATTGCACACAAAGTACACAATACAAGCTGACTGGTCAGTTAGTCAACTGTTTAGTTTAGAGCACTAGTCACAGCAAATCTCACTGTCATCAATCAGCTGAGTAATGGAGAAAGTAATCAGCAGATTGATCCAGGATGATAGGCGTTATCAGTTGCAGTTTATATTTCATAACTTCCACCAACTAGCAGACTAAAATTCTGCTTTTACATTAATGCAGGGGGTGATAATAATAATATAATAACAGTATAACATTCAGAGTGACATTTTTTTTTTTTGCATTGAGAACTTTTAAATAAGTAATTTTGTGTGATGTATCTCACATACTTTTAGTTAAGTAGCATATTCAATGCAAGCCTTTTACTTGTAACAGATTGTTTTGCAGTGTGTTATCAGTGTTTTTATTGAGGTGAAGGATGGAAATACTTCCTCCATCACTGCTGGCTGCATTTTTCTAAGTTGTGAGCAATTTAAATTGACAGTGGTTTTACCCTGAAGGGATCAAAACTAACAGACAAGAGCAGAGAAGCGTCACAACGTAAGGAGATAATCAAATTTTGAGCAGCTGAACATAATTCTCCTTGTCTTGTCTAATCACCTCACAACCCCACAGGTTTATGCTATTAGTCTTTGCAGGTGTGAAAACCTGGTGTAGCTTTAATCTAGTCCAGATGAGAGTGCACCTAAAATGTATGGTGCGAAAGGTAAATGACTGGTTGTAATTAGTTTTTTGGTACAGCAACGTGACAACAGATACGATTTACTAACTCCAAAGAGTGGTTTTATTGTCATGCTACTCCTTAAATACTGATAAAAGTCTGTACAGTCAGCTTCCCCGCTTTAATTCCTTTACACTGCTTTGGATCCTAAGATGCTAAATTGGCAAATTAAGCAGCACTTCTTTGTTGATGGTGTAAATTTCTCTGAGGGAAAATGGCAGCTTCCCCCTCGTGCTATAAAGGCTATAAAAAGGTTAGAGTGGCTAACCTTCCCTCCCCGCGCTGCTGCTGTTGTACACATCCATCCATTAAGAGGCGATGTGTGGACCGAACGCTGCAGGCTTCCCTCGGGCTGCAGCTCACTCAGCATGCAGCGTCTTCCTCTGAGGCCCGAGGCCTGCACTCACTCATTATTAAAGCTGCCGCGCTAATTATTTCATAAGCATGTAGTGAGCCATTATAACATCTGAGAGGCCCAGAAAATCCTTTACATGTTTATTCACATGTGAGGCCAAAAAATCTCTGTTGAGTCTCCTGAAAAACGCTGCAAATATCAGCAGTTTCCCCCAAAACAAACCATTAAATTTCATCAGGTATCATTTGGGAAGATGCTAAATTTAGCACTGAAGTGAGTGTTTAATAATTTGGCATTTATACTCAATCTTTCTTAAATCAGCAAGAAAAAAACGGATCGTTTTATGGCAATTAAAAAAGAATGTATTATTGTTCTAATCACTTTATAACCAGGAAAAGTTTCATTGAGCATATTTTTTACAGGAGCGTCCTGGCCAAGACAGGCACAAACACAATACAACAGACATAATGCTTACATAAAGGTTAAATATAGTATCAACGAATCAGAAAATATACATCACAAGTCATCAATAATGATGATCGAGTCAGTCAACACATTTACTTTTAAATGTGTCTCCAAGTTGCATAAAGTTGCTTTGATTTGATTCATGGATATAGATGTGAATTAGAAAACGAGCTGCCGATGGGGAAAATGTACACCAGCATTTGTTTGACAACTGATTAGAACATTATTGAATTTAATGTGTATGTTTTGTTAAGTCACATCTTCAAAGACCAGTCAGTCATTATAGGAACAAGAGTCACAGATAACCAATGACTGGTACCTATTATGAACTCCCATAACAATGAATCGAGTAAATACCTGAAAATGTCTGGTTAGATATTCAAACCATCAACGCTCCAGCTCCTGCTGCTGCAGCTTGGTTATAAACTTTAGGATATGATGCCACCCTCTGTTTTCTTGCAGCATTGCATCATTACATCCTTCCATCTGATCTGAAGCCTTTCGTGTTTAAGTTGTTTTTCATGCTTGAAAAACACGACCCTTTACAAAGACATGTCGATGGGGATTCCAGTCTACTATATGTTTATTTTTTACTTTTCGTTTACGATTACTAAGCTCATGAACTTTATAGTCCTCTGTTTAGAATGAAGTCGAGCCTCTAGTGTGAGCTGATGTCAGTGTGGTGTCACAATTGCCAGTAACTCACATTTATTCATGTATTTTTTTTAATGGTATTGTGACCTCTCAGCAGGCGTGTAGTGTTTTAGTAGTGTTTTAGTTTTATGTGCACCTTTGACACACATTCCTAAGCTTTTATCACTATTACTCCCACTGTGGCTGATTTACATTAGCCAACTGTTACTGCAAACACAATCATAAAGTCATCAGGTTGTATTTATTTACAGAAAGAGCAGCTTAAACTCACATCTAAAGGATTATATTGTCTCAGTCAGATGACTGCAAGCAGCCTAATTAAGCCATTTTTGTAAATGTTTGTAAATGTGTTGCAACCCGACTTTAGAGCCTGACACTGATGGACTGCAGCATTGATGTGATTAACGATGTCTAAAGGCAGAAATAGGGGCTTCAAATGAGTTTAATATCTGCTATGGAACTTTTCCAAAGTCTGACATCCCCGATAATGTTGTCAGCGTATCTCCTGTTGGACTCAGAGAAAATCTGCATTACATGCTGAGGATGTGGAGTTTATGTGATGTGGGTGTTTACTAGGCAGGGAATGTGTTGCAAAAGGCTGTACTGAGTTGCATCACAGAAAGTTTAGGATCCAGAGTTTTGGGGTCTTGACTTGCACAAGGGAGTAGACAGTCAGGACATCTGAGCCACTGCTGCTCTGAGCTTTACTAATTTCAATCTTTTTCATGTTAGCTGAAAAAGCCCTTTATTTATTTATTTTTTCATTTTGAATGCTCAAATTTTCAACTATCAAACCTCATAATTTGTGCTCACAGTGTTATAATGACCTTACATCAGTTTATAACCTGCAATCAGTTGTTTACGCAGACAGTTATCTATATCATGCAAAACTAAACTCTCTGCAAGTTTATTTTAGTTGCATATCGAAATGAACTGAATTAAAAGGATTAAAAATCAACCACAAACCTGGTGTCATGTTTTCAAGAAACACAAAATTGGAAAGACTCGGTATTCCAAGACCTAAAATTCAGATTTTACCAGTGAAATTATATTTTTTTATCAAGCAAATGACTAAGAAGATGAATAAGAAGGTTTTGTACACAATTTTTTGCTAATGAATGTAGTCATTCAACCAGATTCAAACTGCAGTGTTTTTGTACAAACAGCTTTTAGGAGTGTGATTACTTTTAGATATGAAGATGCAAAGTATCGTCCACCTACTTCATGTACAGAAGGCTTCAATTAATTGTATTAATTTTTAACAACTGTATTTCCACTAAACCCATTTTTCCACATGTAGAGTCATACTTACTGGTTAAACACTAATTTTCCTTCTTTGACCTGTTGTTCTAATGCATGTTTTATTTTGTAGTTCTTTGAGACTATAGAAAACACTGGAGTCACAGTCCTTGTCATGTTTTCAGGTCCTTTCAGGCCAATAAAGCTGCTTCTGGTTCTAAAATAAGCTGTTGCACGCTAACTCTCACATCTACAAATTGGTTTGGAGTCGGTGAGATTAAATCTGGCGTTTCCTGATTGTCTTTTGTTGTGTTCAAGTCAGTTTTAGTTTGTTTGAGCAGCAGCTCAGTCTGACCCTGACTCACCTTTCGTCTCCTCTCTGTCCCCCTCAGGCCTCCCGCAGACGACTCAGGAATGCGTAACAACGCTGCCGCCGCTGCTGCGCTCACCTCCACCCCTCCCAGCAGCCTCCCGTCGCAGGCTCACCCCTGCAGCCCGCCAGACTCCGCCTCCTCCCTCACCCCCTGCTCCTCACTGCCTCCCTCGGTGTCGCCCACCCTCACGGACGTCTTCGGCCTGCCCACCCCGCCCATGGGCAGCGGCGGCGGCTACAGCCTGAGCTCCTCGTGTGGCGGCAGCGGCAGCTCGCGCTCCCCATCACCGCTCACGTTGATGCAGGCGGTGGCGGCCTCGGGCAAGCCCTTCGCCTCCAAGCCCATGGAGCTGTGGAGCAAACACGATGTGGCGGACTGGCTGGAGAGCCTGAATCTGGGGGAGCACAGGGACGCCTTCCTGGACAATGAGATCGAGGGCGCCCACCTGCCCTCACTGCAAAAAGAGGACCTGATAGACCTCGGCGTGACGAGGGTGGGCCACCGCATGAACATCGAGAGGGCCCTCAAGCTGCTGCAGGACAGATAAGCCCCGAGGTGACGGGGTGGCGACGCGTGGAGTCGGGCGGAGGAGAGGAGACGGAGGTGTTACCGATCACTTTTACCAATCTCTTCATCAGACATAATCTCAAGTCATGGAACTGGGTAGAAGTTTTGTCCGAGCTGATGCTGCCTCTTGCTGTTTTTGTCCTCTCTCATCCTCCGTTGTCGCCCTCATCTCAGTGCTCCGGTCTTGTCCGCCCTCTTCCTCCTTCCCACCGTCCTGAGCATCAGGGGATCATGGGATGTCTGGAGGAGCTGCAGGGGAGAGAAGAGAATAGCTGCTATGTCACATCACAGAGAGAGCAGAGGAGGCCAGTGTGAAGGACTGTCCAGAAAACAGAGAACTCTGGAATAGTTTGTCCTCGAACTGGAAACAAATACTCGTCTGGAGGCTTATTTCACATAAAGACTCGTGCTCACCCAACTGCTTTGGAATACTAAAGACTTTTTCCATACACCCCGGTGTGGGTGCATGAAAAACCAGCTGAGCTGGTCGTTGCTCCTTTTCTATCTTTGCTAGAGTTTGTTCAGAGAATATTTCTTCACTAGAGTCCTACCGGAGTTATATTTCTGGGTGCATCTAAGGTTGTAGAGAAAAAATGAGATAGACTCCATTTTTTTTTGCTTTTCACCTGTTTGTGTCAAAATAAGAACATTAGCTGACATGTTTAAACTAATACTGAACCATATCTCGTGTCCATGCACACACAGACACACACATACACACACTTTCTGCACAGTGCCACACAAAATGAGAACACACACAGTCTTCACAGACACCCTGAGCATGTGCACACTCACTGTTCCTGCGATGGCCTTCTTCTCCAGAGAGAGTGTGAAGAGAGGTGGTCACCGGAGAAGGAGTCCGGCCGCTGCTGTCCACCCGGTGTCCACCTCAAGGAAAACCAAGACGAGGACACGACGAGGACATGACGGACAAACGTTGGAGCAGAAAAATCCTCGCCTTGTACCAGCTTGTCTGGCTGTAAAGAGCGTCCTCTCTTGGCTTTCCCTTCTAGTTCTGTGTGTGTGTGTGCGTGTGTGTGTTTGCGCATGTGTGTTAATGGTTGACCCAAAATATGATTAAGGCCCGTTTAGCTATTTCCATGAATCTGCTATATAGGCCGCAGTATAGGGAAACTAGAACTGTTACTTTTGTACTTCATGCTGTCAAATCCTCCCTCACCTCACTATGAGCAGGTCAGCACCTAACGTGGCCCCACAGTAATGCTAACGAATCAGACACCCGATGTGTGAAGGCAGAAGCAAAGAGGGAGCATTATAAGGAGGAATCATGCAACATTTTGGGAAATGCACTTGTTCGCTTTCTTGCCGGAGTATAGCTCAGCATCCAGGTTCTGATGCAGGAGTTACAACAACAACGTTGATATTGCACATTTTACTCAACAAGAAAAGAAAAACAACTTTCGTGAAAAGGCAGAAATTTCAGAAGTAGTGTAAATTTCACAAAAATATTAACTTGATGACAAATTGTGTACATGTAAGAATGCAGCCTAGATGTTACTGAAGCTTCCACTGTGTGACATACCAGACGTGACTTTCCTCACGTCAGGAGATGAAACAAACAGAAACGTCGTTCTGGATTTCTAACCCGACCAGCATGGCGGTTCGTTTAGAAACGTTCTATATTGCAAAAATCGTTCACTAAAGTGTGTTTCTGAAAACATTTGAGGTGAGAATCTTCTTCCACCACTTCCTTGTCCTAGTGACAGTGAGTTATAATGGAGGACATGTTTACTATTTGTTTAATACTCGTCTCATGTTGCTGGCGACATTTAATAGTGCTAAGCTCACTTTAAGTCTCATTTTCAGTTTCCACAGTCAAATTAATTTACTTTTAGCTAACAGTAGCTACAAGAAAGTCACATGAGATTGTTGGTTACACACAGATAGCAGTATTTATCATGTGTACATGGATATAATTATATTCATATTTTTCTGCGGTCCATGTAAGTGCTAAATCCTAAATATGATCACAACTAGACAACTTATGTAAACATACTCAGTGTTTCTGTTCTGCTTTAACCATTTCAGCTGTTACAGAAAGTGCTGTGATGGATGCTGGTTTGTCTCAGAATATATCCATCCATTATCTATACACCGCTTAATCCTCATTAGGGTCGCGGGGGGGCTGGAGCCTATCCCAGCCGACTTAGGGCGAAGGTAAGGGACACCCTGGACAGGTCACCAGTCTATCACAGGGCTACACTTAGAGACAGACAACCAAGCACACTCACATTCACACCTATGGGCAATTTAGAATCACCAATTAAGCTCAACATGTTTTTGGACCTTGTGGGAGGAGGCCGGAGAACCCGGAGAGAACCCACGCTGCACGGGGAGAACATGCAAACTCCACGAGAAAGATTCCGGTGCCCCCACCGGGACGTGAACCGGCAACCTTCTTGCTGCGAGGCAACAGTGCTACCAACTGCGCCACCCTGCAGCCCGTCTCAGAATATATATAGTTTAAATCTAGGACCATGTTTTTTCTGAAACACCTGCAAAAGTAATACTCAGTGGGAGACTGTTGATTTACAGAAGTTACACTACATGTTTCTATATGATGCTATGTCAACATAGTTTAAGTCCAGAAGCAGGTTGGAACCAAATGTGGCCACCAGCACCTCAAAATTTCTGATTAAATGAACTTTAGAGGTTCTTGAAGTCATTTTTTATTTTTTTGTACCTGAGGACAGAACTATGTCATCCTGCTTCCAATCATGGATGTAGCTTTTAACAAGCAGACGTACAGTGAGAGTGATATCGATCTTCTCGGCTAACTGTTGGCAAGAAAGCGATGTGTGCATTTTCCAAAATATCAAACTAATTAAGGTTGTCATTGGAGCATTTTATAGCATCTGAATCCAGTGTCAAATCCTCTTGGAGTCCTTTTTTAAATGACACAAATTGTAAGCAACCTAATACTTAAGAACTACAATCAATATTTCAGGAGCTAAAATGTACATGTTACCAGAGAAATCCGATATTTTTTATTTAGCAAATGACCATCTGAACATTTTGTACACCGTTGTTTGCTAATAAACAAAATTCGATGACAAAATTCACCCAAATTTGAATTGAAAAAGCTGTTTAGACGTACAATTCTTTGAAATTTGAAACAGCGTTGCAAAGAGAAGTCCTGTTTCAGACCGAAACAGTCTTTAGTAGTGTGATTACTTTCCAGTAACAACAGCTGGAGACGCAGCCAGCACTTAAATCAGCTGCTGCACGCCGACTCCAGCGGCCCCTGCAGAACCAGGGGGAGATCAACCAGACGTTTTCTTATAAATCTACTTATGAGCAAGTTGATTCTTTGTACAGCAACTTCAAACCAGATGACGTGAAATCACACCGAGTCAGGTTTCGCAAAAACAATCTGTCTCTTGCCCTTGAAGAATAACCTGACAGAGGCGGCAGATGTTCCTGAGAGATTAGAACGGGACAGAAACCGTTCTGATTTGCTGTAACTTCACCGGACTTATAAGCTTCTCGAGATTCTGTCACTGCGGCTTCAGCAGCAGCAGAGATGAGATTAAAACTTTGTTATAAGGGTCCAATTTTAAAATCAGCATTTATAAAACTGGAGGTTTCTGTGTGTTTGCTAGCAATGACTCCAGGCAGGTCAGACGTAGAAGTGCAGTGTGTGTTGAAATGTGTATATAAGAGTGTTTAACAGGATAAAAAAAATGTCTATTTGATTATATGTATAGCTCTATTTAAAATGTTTAGAGATGAAAAAAGATTCTATGAAGGTTGATTTATAGTTGTCAGAGCTGACCTGATGACCAAAGCAGTGGTCTCATTCGCCCCCCCATCATCCCTCAGAGGATGCCTTAAACAGCTTCCCTTCCTCCAACCCCTGCGAGAAGAGCTTCTGTATTATCTCGAAGCAGATTCTTTCAGAGCACACCGCCCGTGTGGTTTGCTCGACAGTAACCCGACGTCTAGAACAAGTTGTTTGGTTTCATATCACACTCCGCAGCTTTCTGAGGAGACAAATGAAACATACACGAGCTCTGTGTTCTGTGAACATTAGGAGGCTGGCACGGGACAATGCTGCTATAATCCTGTTATTTTAAATCGAACAGCGGCGTGTCGGAGGGCGTAGAAAAGCACAGTATTTTTAAAGATTTGTATAGAGTTCTATGAAATTTTATAGAGGTTATCTGAACAAAAAAACTGTTCAACACTGACGCGTGGATTGCCAAAAAAAAACAAAAAAAAAAAACAGAAATACTATAGATATAAACGTGGATATTATTAGACTTATGGGTTATGTAAGAAGCAATATTTATTCTGAATGAATCTCCTTGGTTGTGTTTTATTTTTTAAAGTTACATATCATGACGCGATCACTTGTCAGTGTTTTAATGAAGTGTTGCCTAACGTAGATACACTCTCTACTTACTGCAGTAGATACAGTATACAACTGAGTATACTGTGTGTTAGCTGTACACCCCTGTGCAATGTCACTGAAATGTCAAAAGATTTTCATTTGCATCAACTCTGTACACTCATTAGTTCCCAGTTGAACAGTAGATTATTTCTACTTGTGAACAATGAAAAGCAAATACCTCAGAAAGACTGTTTTGAAAATAGTGTATAAATTATTTAAATGCTAATGAAGAAACTCAATGCGACAAAAGTGAACACACCTGTGATCACTGAAACTAAATTGAGTCCACCTGTGATTTCCAAACTGCATCAACACGGTTATAAAATAAGTTGTGAATGCAGAACTTTCTCAGTTTTTAACCTGTGGACTGAGTCTATCCGCATGTCTACATCATGGCTCCACATGAATTGCCAGAATAACAGAAAACTCTGACTGTAAAACCTCACAAAGACGGAAAAGGACACAGGGAGATCTGTAGGCAACTCAAAGTCAGTGGAAGCACAGTTGCAGCAGTGATCAGAATGTATAGAACGAGCCATAGTGCCACTAATCAGGGCTGCAGTGGT